TTTTTTTTTATTAAACTTAATCACTTTACAAGTTAAATAATCTATTTTTATTAAAGATTTAGTTAAAATATTTATTTTAGTTAATACTAAAAATAATAATTGTAATAAATCTAATTTTTTATAAATATTATGTATAATATTCTTTTGAAAAAAATTAGATTTAAACTTTTTTTGTAATTTCCATTGAATTTGTAACTGTACGTAATTTTTTACAATAAACATTTATCTTAAGTTTATAATTATTACTCACTATAAATCCTAAAAAATTTAAATATTTAATAATTTTAGTAATAAAATTATTATTAAAATTTTTATTTTTTAAATGATAACTAGCTGTAAGAATTGATTTATTATATATGAAAAAATCAATTAAATAATTTATGTCTTTTTTTGAATATTTTAAAATCATTTATTAAATATTTATAAATAAGAATCTTTAATTTTATTAAATATTAATAATGGAATTTCAGACATAAATTCTAGGGGTAATTTTTCATAAATATCAATACAAAAGCTATTTACTAACAGTGATACTGAACTCGATAAACTCAGCCCTCTTTGTTGTAAAAAAAATAAATATTCTTCGTCTATTTTAGAGATAAAAGCTTCTTGTTGTAAATTGGTAGAATAATTATAAACTTTACTATATGGAATAGTAGCTATTAAAGAATTACTCCCAAATAATAAAGAGTCACATTCTGTTTTATTTATAACTCCAAAAGCATATTTTGAAACTTCAACTAATCCTCTATATATATTTTTTGATGAATTTAGAGATATACTTTTAGATAATATATGACTGGAGGTACAATTTCCTATATGTAAAATTTTACTACCGGTATCTGCTACTTGAAGATCTGAAACAAATGAAATAGAATAAAAACTACTACTTGAATAGTCCCCTAATAGCGTAGAAGAAGGATATTTCCAAGTTATAGACGATCCCACTTCAATTTGAAGCCACTCTAGTCTGGCAAATTCTAAACATTTTCCTCTTTTTGTAGTAAAATTATAAATACCCCCCTCTCCTAAATTGTTTCCTTTATACCAATTTTGAACTGTTATATACTTCACAAATGCTTTACTTTTAACAATAATTTCTACTATAGCTATATGTAATTGTGATTCTTTATATATAGGAGCTGTACATCCTTCTATATAAAATACAGAAGAAGATTTGCCTGCAATTAATAAAGTTCTTTCAAATTGAGCAAAATTTTTTGTATTAGTTCTAAAATAAGTTGATAAATTAAAATCACAAATAATATCTTGTGGTATATAACAAAAAGATCCTTCACTAAATACTATACTATTAATTGTAGCAAAAAAATTATCTTGAATAGGTATTACAGTACTTATATATTTAAATACTAAATATTCAAATTTATTAAAAGCTTCGAATAGAGAAATAAATATTATTCCAAATTTATTTAAATAAGGTTTAATTGTATTTAATATAGATATACTATCAAATATAACATCTAAAGCCATATTTTTAATATTTTTTTTATTTTGTAATGAAAAACCTAGTTTTTTAAAAGTTTTATTTAATAATAATTCCATAGATTGGTTAATTTTAGGTTTAGAGTAATAGATTAAGGAATCATAATTAATGTCTGGATTATCTATAAAATTCCAATCGGGTATTTTTAATTTAAAAATACTTTTTAATGCTCTTGCTCTTAGTTGTGTAATTAACAATCTTTCTTTATTTAGTAATTTTAAATTTGAAATTAATTTCAAATTTAAACCTCCTTTTAAAATATTGGTATCTAAATTAATTTTAAATCCATATCTATAAGGTTTATTTAAAATATTTTTAAATTTCATTTAAAATAAATTTTTATAATTATTATAATAAAAGTTAATCAAGAGATTCGAACTCTTATCCAACTGATTACAAATCAGTAACTCTTCCAGTTGAGCTAAATTAACTATTAATTTTAATTAATTCGAATTATTAATAATTTTTAACTTAATATATTACTATACTTATATTAAAACTTTATTAATTAATTAATCTTATTAATTTCTTAATCTAAAAGACTAGAAGTATTATAAATGAAATTTCTTACTTATATGCCCTCAGCAATTAATTTCATAAACTTAGCTACTCAACACATATTATATTAAATAATTGATACACCAGAAGTTTAATTTTTTCGCTCCTTTCGTACTAAAAAAAATTTTTTTCATAATTCTATAAACCCACACTGGATATGGACCGAACTGTCTTGCGACGTTCTGAACCCAGCTCACGTACCACTTTAATAGGCGAACAGACTAACCCTTAAAACACACTACTGCTTTAGGATGTGATGAGCCGACATCGAGGTGCCAAACCTTTTCGTCGATAAGGGCTCTCGGAAAAGATAAGCCTGTTATCCCTAGAGTAACTTTTAGCTGTTAAGTGATTTTATTATCACATAAAAAATCAGATCACTAAAACCGACTTTCATCCTTGTTTGATATATTAAATCTAACAATCAAGTTTTACTATTTTTATTCCAAACCTTTGTACACCTCCGTTACTTTTTAAGAGGTTACCGCCCCAGTCAAACTGTCTTTTTTAAACTTTTCAAATTTTTGTTAAAAAATTTGTTAAAATATTCTAATTAATAGAGTGGTTTTTCATTAATAATTTAATTTCCCACATATCTATACAATTAATTATAAAATTTAATTTAAAATTACAGTAAAGCTTCGTAGGGTCTTTCTGTCCGAGTGTGGGGAATTCGCATCTTCACGAATATTGTTATTTCATCAAGTTTTTTTTTAAGACAGTATTCAAATCGTTACATCTTTCGTGCAGGTCGGAACTTACCCGACAAGGAATTTCGCTACCTTAGGACCGTTATAGTTACAGCCGCCGTTTACTGAAGATTAAAAAGTAAATATTTTACCTTTTTTATCATACAGCACTGGGCAGATGTCAGCTCCCTTACATCATTATTATATTTAGCGGGAACCTGTGTTTTTGATAAACAGTCGTTTGAATCACTTTCTGATATCCTTAATAGTAGGACATTCTTTCTCCCTAAGTTACAGAATAAATTTGCTTAGTTCCTTAAAAAAAAATAACTTACCTTTTAGTATAAAGGCTACCTAGTCACTTGTGTCAGTTTAAGTACGGGCTTATTTATTTTAAATTTACTTATAAAACTTTTAAATAAAAATTATAGTAAAATAAATAAGGTTTAAGAATATTAACTTAAAATCCATCAGTTACATTTCTTTAATCTCACTTTAGGCCCCGACTAACCCTATTTTGTTTTTCATAGAATAGGAACCCTTAAAAATTTTCAAGGTATTAATTTGTTATTAATATATTAAATTACTTAAACTTACATTATCACTTTTGTGTAGTTGATTATTTTTTACAAAATAATTTTATTCTAATACAAAACGCTCTTTTACTAACTATATTTAAAGATAGTTCCACAACTTCGGCAATTTATTTATCTCCTAATAATTATCGGCGCTAATATACTTAAATAATGAGCTATTACGCACTCTTTAAAAGATAGCTGCCTCTAAGCTTACTTTTTATTTGTCTATGTATAAAAACTTCCTTTCAACTAAATAAATATTTAAGAACCTTATTTAATGGTCTGGGTTGTTTCCCTCTCGACTTTAAAGCTTATCCCTTAAAGTCTCACTTATTTAGTACTAAATTTATAATGGTATTTAAAAACTAAATTAAAATTTATGAACTTTACCTCCAATATAATAATTTAAATAGCTGTACCTAAATACATTTCAAAGAGAACCAGCTAGCTCCGAATTCGATAGGCATTTCACCTCTAACTACATTTCATTTGATAATTTTGCAAAATTAACCAATACAGACTACTATAAAATATAAATAAATTATAGTATCTTAAACATAGTTATATCATTCCGGTATCGGGTATATATAAATAGACTTAATTAATATGTGTGCATTTAATAAAGCTTGCGTTAACTTTGACTTCAAAATTTATTTTTTTTAATCTATATTCGCCTATTTATATAACTCGTAAGTCCATTCTTCAACAAGTAATCAATAAAGTTCTACAATAAACTCATTTGATTATTAGATATTAAAATTTCAAATTCTTTTCACTTCCCTCCCGGGGTTCTTTTCATTATTCCCTCACGGTACTTATACACTATCGAAACTTAGGAGTATTTAAGTTATAAAAGGAGATTCTTTTATTATTTAATTCATTCAATTAATCTTATGAACTACTATATAACCTAAAATATTATAAAATATTTTATTTTTCATTTCTCTCACCGTTACTTAGAAAATCATTATTATATTAATTTCCTCTGAGTATTAAGATGTTTCAGTTCCTCAGGTTTACTTTTACAATATATTTACAATATATTGTAAATATATTGTAAATATATAAAGTTATTCTTATTCAGACATCTTTAGATCATTATAAGCTCTATTTTCTAAAGTTTTTCGCCATTAACTACGTCTTTCTTCGTCTCTAAGTATCTAAATATTCATTTTATATCCTTTATATTAAAATTATTTTAAAAATATATTTACTAATTACCTTCAATTTATTTAAAATTAAGTGAGAATTGGAATTGAACCAATAATTTTCGGATTATGATCCCGATGAGTTTATCCAATTTACTCTATCTCACTTATATACTATGTATCTAAAGGGACTCGAACCCCCGTCCCCAGGTTCGCTACCAAGTATTTTACCTATTTAAAATATAAATACCTATATATAGGGTATATAGCTTAGAGAGGTAGAGCAGTTGTTTTACAAACAAATGGACATTGGTTCGAGTCCAGTTTTACCTAAAACTTATAGTCTAACGGAGTAAGACAGAAACCTTCTAAGTTTTTAATATAGGTTCGAGTCCTATTAGGTTTAGAGAATACAAATTACACAGAAGTGACGGAATGGCAGACGTATTAGATTTAGAATCTAAGGAAAATTTTTCATAAGAGTTCAAGTCTCTTCTTCTGTGTTAGGCATAGTATAAAATTACTTTTTAAACTGGACTCGAACCAATGGTCTTTCGGTTAACAGCCGAATGTTTTACCTATTAAACTATTAAAAATCATATATATATGAACTTAAAATTTTTCTGGTTATTTTGGGGAGTTTGATCCTAGCTCAGAATGAACGCGTGGAAAATACATTACACATGCAAATTATATGTATTATAAAATACATAGTGTACCGGTGAGTAATAAAAAGGGTTACCTTTAGATTAAATATAATATATAAAATTTAATATACACATTAGTGTTTTTAAAAAATGTACTTTATTGTCTAAATATAAACTTTTATCTAATTAGCTATTTAATAAATTATTATATTAAGGCGAGAATTAGTAGTTGGCCTGAGAGGGTGACCAATCACATTGAGATTGAAAATGCTCAAACTTCGTAGGAAGGCAGCAGTGGGGAATATTTTGCAATGAGCGCAAGCTTGACAGAGTCATTTTCCGTGAAGGATGACAGTAATTTAAATTATTGTAAACTTCAGTTATTTTTATAAGCTAGAGATTTAAAAATAAAAGCATCGGCAAATCTTCGTGCCAGCAGCCGCGGTAATACGAGAGATGCTAGCGTTATTCAGAATTATTGGGCGTAAAGTGTGTGTAGGCGGTTTATTGTATTTTATTAGAAAAATTATAATTAAATATAATTATATTTAAAAGATTAATAAACTAAGAAATTATTAAAAATAAAACAAACTTTATGGGAAGTAGTTTAATATGTTGATCCATAAAGGAAGATTAATGTGAAAACTTTTTATTAGAATAATATTGACGCTGAGACACGAAAGCTAAGGTATCAAATGAGATTAGAGACCTCAGTTAGTCTTAGCCGTAAATGATGAAAACCTAAAAGTATAATTATTAAAATACTATTTTTTAAGCTAACGCTAAAAGTTTTCCGCCTGGGTAGTACGTTCGAAAGAATGAAACTTAAAGGAATTGACGGGGGTCCTTACAAGCGGTGGGGCATGTGGTTTAATTCGATGTAACACGAAAAACCTTACCAAAACTAGACTAATCAGGTAGTGCATGGCTGTCGTCAGTTTGTACCGTGAGGCGCTGGATTTAGTTCCATAACAAACGTTACCCTTTTATAATATTAATATATAGTATATACTGCTTAATTATTATAATATAATTTAGAGGAAGGCGAGGAGGACGTCAAGTCATCATGCTCTATATGTTTTGGGCTACCCACATGCCACATTGAGAAATATAATAAATTATTAATCATATTTGTATTGTAAAATACAAATAATTTTAAAAATTTTTCATAGTACAGCATTTAGATTGAAATTTCTAAATAAAGAAGGAATCGCTAGTAATCATTGGTCAGCTATACAATGGTGAATATTCTAAAGGATCTTGTACACACCGCCCGTCACATCAGGGAAATTTAATATTATAAAAATAAATTTACATTAATATATAATATTAAGTAACTAGGGTGAAGTCGTAACAAGGTAGCCGTACTGGAAGGTGTGGCTAGAAATATGATAAATATTACAAGGAGTTTTAAGTAATAGAGAAGTATATTATTATATTAGACTTAAATTTACGATACTCTAAAGTTTATAGAGGAAAATAATATCTATTATAAAAAACTTTTAGCTCAGAGGTAGAGCAAACTCCTGATAAGGGTTTAGTCCCTAGTTCGATTCTAGGAAAGTTTAATAAACCCTTATCAGGAGTTTGCTCTACCTCTGAGCTAAAAGTTTTTTATAATAGATATTATTTTCCTCTATAAACTTTAGAGTATCGTAAATTTAAGTCTAATATAATAATATACTTCTCTATTACTTAAAACTCCTTGTAATATTTATCATATTTCTAGCCACACCTTCCAGTACGGCTACCTTGTTACGACTTCACCCTAGTTACTTAATATTATATATTAATGTAAATTTATTTTTATAATATTAAATTTCCCTGATGTGACGGGCGGTGTGTACAAGATCCTTTAGAATATTCACCATTGTATAGCTGACCAATGATTACTAGCGATTCCTTCTTTATTTAGAAATTTCAATCTAAATGCTGTACTATGAAAAATTTTTAAAATTATTTGTATTTTACAATACAAATATGATTAATAATTTATTATATTTCTCAATGTGGCATGTGGGTAGCCCAAAACATATAGAGCATGATGACTTGACGTCCTCCTCGCCTTCCTCTAAATTATATTATAATAATTAAGCAGTATATACTATATATTAATATTATAAAAGGGTAACGTTTGTTATGGAACTAAATCCAGCGCCTCACGGTACAAACTGACGACAGCCATGCACTACCTGATTAGTCTAGTTTTGGTAAGGTTTTTCGTGTTACATCGAATTAAACCACATGCCCCACCGCTTGTAAGGACCCCCGTCAATTCCTTTAAGTTTCATTCTTTCGAACGTACTACCCAGGCGGAAAACTTTTAGCGTTAGCTTAAAAAATAGTATTTTAATAATTATACTTTTAGGTTTTCATCATTTACGGCTAAGACTAACTGAGGTCTCTAATCTCATTTGATACCTTAGCTTTCGTGTCTCAGCGTCAATATTATTCTAATAAAAAGTTTTCACATTAATCTTCCTTTATGGATCAACATATTAAACTACTTCCCATAAAGTTTGTTTTATTTTTAATAATTTCTTAGTTTATTAATCTTTTAAATATAATTATATTTAATTATAATTTTTCTAATAAAATACAATAAACCGCCTACACACACTTTACGCCCAATAATTCTGAATAACGCTAGCATCTCTCGTATTACCGCGGCTGCTGGCACGAAGATTTGCCGATGCTTTTATTTTTAAATCTCTAGCTTATAAAAATAACTGAAGTTTACAATAATTTAAATTACTGTCATCCTTCACGGAAAATGACTCTGTCAAGCTTGCGCTCATTGCAAAATATTCCCCACTGCTGCCTTCCTACGAAGTTTGAGCATTTTCAATCTCAATGTGATTGGTCACCCTCTCAGGCCAACTACTAATTCTCGCCTTAATATAATAATTTATTAAATAGCTAATTAGATAAAAGTTTATATTTAGACAATAAAGTACATTTTTTAAAAACACTAATGTGTATATTAAATTTTATATATTATATTTAATCTAAAGGTAACCCTTTTTATTACTCACCGGTACACTATGTATTTTATAATACATATAATTTGCATGTGTAATGTATTTTCCACGCGTTCATTCTGAGCTAGGATCAAACTCCCCAAAATAACCAGAAAAATTTTAAGTTCATATATATATGATTTTTAATAGTTTAATAGGTAAAACATTCGGCTGTTAACCGAAAGACCATTGGTTCGAGTCCAGTTTAAAAAGTAATTTTATACTATGCCTAACACAGAAGAAGAGACTTGAACTCTTATGAAAAATTTTCCTTAGATTCTAAATCTAATACGTCTGCCATTCCGTCACTTCTGTGTAATTTGTATTCTCTAAACCTAATAGGACTCGAACCTATATTAAAAACTTAGAAGGTTTCTGTCTTACTCCGTTAGACTATAAGTTTTAGGTAAAACTGGACTCGAACCAATGTCCATTTGTTTGTAAAACAACTGCTCTACCTCTCTAAGCTATATACCCTATATATAGGTATTTATATTTTAAATAGGTAAAATACTTGGTAGCGAACCTGGGGACGGGGGTTCGAGTCCCTTTAGATACATAGTATATAAGTGAGATAGAGTAAATTGGATAAACTCATCGGGATCATAATCCGAAAATTATTGGTTCAATTCCAATTCTCACTTAATTTTAAATAAATTGAAGGTAATTAGTAAATATATTTTTAAAATAATTTTAATATAAAGGATATAAAATGAATATTTAGATACTTAGAGACGAAGAAAGACGTAGTTAATGGCGAAAAACTTTAGAAAATAGAGCTTATAATGATCTAAAGATGTCTGAATAAGAATAACTTTATATATTTACAATATATTTACAATATATTGTAAATATATTGTAAAAGTAAACCTGAGGAACTGAAACATCTTAATACTCAGAGGAAATTAATATAATAATGATTTTCTAAGTAACGGTGAGAGAAATGAAAAATAAAATATTTTAT